TAAAAGGAGTCCTGGAAGTGGGGGGACAGATATACAGGAAGCCTGGTTGGCTCAGGAGAAGAGAAGGCTGCAAAAGGTGGATCCCCAAGGTAAAGAATGCCTGGTAGTTTGACCATGTTGGGAGGAGCTTTAAGGTAGGAAGAAACTCCACAGATGATTTGATCGTCCTAAGTAAGGCAATTAGTAACTCCCTAGAAAACCAAGAATAAAGGTACTTGTAATAACTCAGCCTTGAATGAGGTTTTCATTTAACCAGAAATGGTCACATGACTAAATTCAGAGCATGGAATCATGTGGTGCATGACTTTTTGGGAGAAGTCAATGGATGGTGTCTAAAGTGGTAAAAAATTTTAAATAGCTCTTTAAGCTTGTTATTTAAAAGTAAGGATGTAAAATACGATGAGAAAAGCTAAAATCATTGAAAGTGGTTATACCTTGGAAGTAAGAATTGGGAGTGAGAAGGAACAACTTTTTTTTGACGTAAGTCTTATATTCTTTTTGACTTCTTAAAGTACATAGTACTTTGATTTAAAAAGTTAAAACATAAATCAAACAGAAAAAGCTACTTGTAAGAGCATTAAAATTTGCTTCTTAGTAGCATGTGGTTGAATTTAGTATTTCTCCTTGAACTGTAAGCCTTTTTTCAGACTTGGAAATAACGAAGAAAATGGATCCTACACATTTCACCACTTTGGAACTTACTATGACCTGTGAGAATGAGTGCATGTGACTGGAGGATGTACACAAGGTCCCATCAGTCCCTGAGGCTCTAGGTGACACAAGCACAGGGAAGAGCAGCAGGCGAGGTGAGATGAGAAGTGGGTCCGGCAGTAAGCTGGGCCTGAGATCAGACCCACTCCAGGGCTTGGGGTGTCATGGTTCTAGGCGAGGGGCCGGCATGTGCAAAGCCAGCTGTGATGCTGCTACACTGCCTCTGCCTTTCCTTTGCAACACCCCCTTTTCTCTGGAGTCACAGCAGAAATGTGGATTTTGAGGCTGGTTTGCACTGGCTGGTTCTAGGTATACCAGAACACCTGCCGAGTGGCAGCCAGTGTGGTGAGCAACCAGTCATTCTGGCCACACCTCAGCATGGCAGCACTTGGGACTCTCGATGAGGTTTTTATCCTCATATAGCTCTTCCTGGACGAGTCCTTGCTGGTAACAGCCAAAGAAGGCCTCAGCAGAGATGGGGATATGGGTTTGCTTTCAAAATGAAGAATTAAAAAAATAAATAACGACAGAGGACAAAAGAAGTGAAACTGTGGATACTTTTTCTGTTAGTGTGACACCATGGGCTAAAAGGTACCTTAACTTCAGCATCACTCCTAAAAATGAAACAGTTTTTAGTAGCCTGCATGGTACATTAGGAAATGGCAGTGAGCACACCTCTGAGGCTGTTGTGGGGTGTGTCTGTGGCTATGTGACATTGTTGAGAGTAGTGCAGTGGCCTGCAATGATTTTTAATCATGCACATGGCAGTGAAGAAATTGAGCATGTTTATCTGACAAATATATTTACTTATATACTATTGTGCTGGCTATGTGCATTATAAAACATGCAAAACTAGCTGTCTTAAAGGGCTGAGCTACAGCTATAAGTAAATTAAAGTTGTAGGTGTTTTGTGCTCCTGTTGATTGTGCTGCTGATGTAGGGACACACTTGTCTCAGTTCTGTGTTGACCATGTAATCTCACTGCATAAGGACACAGCCCCAGGGTGGTGGGCAAGGAAGGGTGAAGCCCACATTTTTCCAAGGGGAATGATTCTCTTATAGTGCACAAGTTATGAGACCTTAAAAATTTTGTTTTTCTCACTTTAAACACCAACTATTGACTTTCTCCAAAAGATACTCCTCACAGATGCCACGCCATGATGGTTTCTAGTACAGACGGCTTCCTTGCCACGCTGTGCTGCACACACACGTCAGGAAGCAGAGGCAGGGAGAGGAGAGGCTGGATCAGGACCACAGACCAATCCCTTGGCTCATTTCAGTTCTCTCTCTAGGATTCCATAGTGCATCCCAGAACCTCTCAGAGAACTCCCTTTCAGCCCATCCTGGCTCCTGTGTTACCTGGAAGTTGTAAAATTCAGTGTGTGAAACCCTTTGCCTCCTCTGACCTGGCCACATTAATCGGACGGGCTTGCGGCCTGGCTGTCATGCTGGGGGGAGGTGTGAGGCAGTGTCACTCCTTGCTTTGTTCTGTTTTCCTTTTGTCCAGCTGACTCTGAGGAAAATTGTTACACACATCCAAGAGGGTGGCTGTCTGTCCACCTTTGTTGTGAGTGTCAGTTCTGGTTTTCAGCCAGAAGTGGGGCTCTTCATACCTGGCCTGTCAGGTGTTACTAAGCCCCGTGCATTATAGCAAGTGATCTCCCTCATAAACCAGAAAGTGTCCTGACCGTCAGGAGCTTTACCCAGGATCGTCCCTCAGAACTCAAGTAGTCCTGAGGCTCAGTACACCTGGTGGTTGAGCACACCCATTTCTCAGGACTGGAGCTCCCCGAAGCTTCTATGTTCACCTCTTCAAGGAAAATACGGTGTGGTTTAAGCTTTAGAGCAAATTGAATGAGAGAGATTCTAATTTTACTTTTCAGGTTTATCAGGAGGCTTTTTTAAAAGCTTATAATAATGCCTTTTTACTCAACAGAAAAGATCAGATGATGTTTTCCTTTGGAAAATATGGCTAGCTAGTAATATCTGAAGGAATTAAATAATTGGCAAAATAATAGGGATTTTCATTACCAGTGTTAGAAAAATAGTTGTGTTCTTAGCTGCTGTATATTTATTGCAGATGATATACTGCTGAAAACTAACCTGTTCCTTTTGTTCCTGTGTAGTAGTAAAAGCAAAAGATACACAATAAAATATCTTAATTTGCTTTGAAGAGGAAAGGCTCCAGTATACACTGCTTGGATGTGATTCTCAGATTTATTCCCTTCAGTTACTCTATTATGTGATTCCTAGAGGTCTGATATGAGGGGAAGTGGTTTCGTTTGTTTTATCTTCTGGTAGCAAGTTTTTAAAAAGGAAAGCCTCTGCCTTCTGAGGGGTTCAGGGCCAGGTGCCTGGGCTGTGCTCCCATGTGCAGACTGCATGTGACGGAAGGGAAGCATCAGTGCAGAAAGCCTCAGCCCCCAAGTCCTGTGACCCATGGACGATTGCTGTCAGTGTCCTCCCTAGATTTGCGTTTGAAAAGACTCTAGTCTTGGATTTTTCTTGTAAGACTTCAGAAAAAGAAAAAGCATAAAGCATTTGGTGAGAAAGCGACAGGCAGCCATTGCATGGGAACAGTGAACATGTTAGAATTCAGTAAAGATGCCATAGCTATTAAAGTTGTGGTTTCTAAACACTAAGACAGGAACTCAGTTCTTCTTAGGACTCCATCCCCACTGATGGGAACCTGGTAAGTTTTGTGCATTGAATTCTAATAGCAGACAATGGGGGAAAAACAAAAACATGTGGAGTATGAGAGGAGGTAGGGCCAACAGCTGACTCAAAACCTTGTTGAAAAGTAATAGTGATGTAGTACTCGGCTGAGAGAGACTGGACACTAGGTAAACGTTTCTCTCCAGTTCTTAGACATGTAGGGCGTTTCTTTGCATTTTTCAGGAAATCATTTGTAAGTATCTGCCTCAGACTGAATGCTAGATGAGGGTGGGGGGACATCCAGAAGGAATACTTCAACGATAGTAAGTACCCACTGGGTGCACCCGTCACAGAGGTTTGTGTTTAATAGCTTTACCCCAACTTGCTTGTTTGTCTAATAGTTAAATCTCATGTTGCATTATAATTTGTGGTATTTAATACTGGCTCCCTGTATCTTGAGAAATTTGATGGCTGTATATCTCTAGAGTTGAGCTAATATAGTAGCCACTATCCACATACAACTATTTAAACTTAAATTAACATTGTTAAAATCACATTAAAAACCCAGTTCCTCAGTCATACTAGTCACTTTGGAGGTGCTCAGTTGGCGGCGTGTGGCTAGCAGCTGCTGTTCTGGACACGCGGAGGCAGAACATGTCATCACTGCTGAGAGGTCTTTTATGCAGTCCCAGTCTAGGCATTTCTCATTTTATGGGAAGAGTTGGCTGACTTTATGCTCTACACCATGGAAGTGCTGTATTGGCAGGTGTCTGGGACTGGACAAAGCAGCAGCCAGGTGAGAGCCAGTGTGTCACGTTGCTGTGTACTGTGGAGTTACACAGACGGCCTGGCTCAGGAAGGGCTGTCAGCGCAGGTCTGGTGATTCAGGAGCACCTTTTGCGCCTGTTGGTTGGGATGCAGGGTGGTGTCGTTAGGAGGATCAGCTTTACAGGCAGAGTGGCCCTTACAGCTGGGGCCAGCTTGCCGGGTGACACTGGCAGGTTACTTACCTTTGCTGACCCTCTTTGCTCCTCTGTAAAGTAGGAGTGAAATACCTACTTCTGGTTTATTACAAGAATTATCTTAGGTAAAGTGAATGGAATAAAGACAAATCCTTAGCACAGCGTGAGACACCGTAAGCATGTGCTCAGTGGCATTTATTTTTATATTGATAGTAATGATGGCATTTGTCAATTCCTGTTTTCCTGATGTGTACTTTTTCTTTTTTCTCATTTAAAATTATTTTTCTGCATTCTTTGCCTTGTTTATTTTCCCCTTTGCTTTATTCCTTTCTCTTCATTTTCATCTGACTGAAGGGCCCTGAGTAACTCGGTTAGTGATACTCAAGGATAAAGGATTCCTGTCCCCTATTTGTTGTGGCACAGTGAAGAATGGGGAATAATTGATGTCAAAGTGAAACTCAGCCCTAGAAGGATTCACAGGAACACAGCACCTTGGACCAATGTTTATGGGGAAGCTGGTCTGTATGGGCCAAGGGGCAATGTGACATAATTGGCCAGTAGGGTTGGGGTCCGGGAGCCCCCCTTATTAGCATCTACCTGTGAACTGGTCGGCAGACTAATAAGAGAGCCACAGCCAGGAGGTCCCTGCTAATTATGTGTCTTTACTGATAGCAACAAAGGAGAGAGCGTGAAGCCAGAAGGCAACAAGAACGTGAACAGCGAAGGAGAGAACAGGAGGAGAAGAGGCGTCTGGAAGAGTTGGAGAGACGGCGGAAAGAAGAGGAGGAGAGGAGACGGGCAGAAGAGGAGAAGAGGAGAGTAGAAAGAGAACAGGTCAGTTCATGAAAGAACGCGCCACCGATGGCCTGGTGAGGTGTGTTACTGGCAGAGTCAGGGGTTTGGGGCAGGAAGTACACACGTGTGTGTGTGTGTGTGTGCACACATGTGCACCCCGCCCCCACCCCCCATACACACATTTTCAGGACTTTGGAAGTTTAAAAATAGTGAAACACAGTTGGAAACAGACCAATAAACTCTGAGTCTCCTGTCTTCAAAAAAGATAATGTAAATCATGACACTTTAGAAACTTCTTTAAACCAGCTAAGTGGTCTCTAAATATTATACCTGAGAGATTTCTGAATATATCTTCTTAGGTTTGGCTTAAGTGCATTGAATCCCAAATACCTGGATGGTAATTAATTAAAAAATGAGATTAAAAACCAACTGTAAGAAATTTTTTGAGAAACGTTGAAAGTATTCCAAGTGTGTAACTGAATATTGTGTTTGCATATAATTCAGTATATACATATGTACCAGTAGAAAAAATAATAATGTTGTTAAGCCAAAAAATAAAAGATCGTGTTTTAGTATTATTTATAGTATTTAATTAATGCAGATACAGTTGTCTTTCCTGAACCACCTGTGCAAACAAAAATTATGCTTTGTGTTGTCAGAGGGGACCCCATTGTCAGCCTCTTTGCCCTTCATGGCTTTGAATTGATCACTCTTTGTTATGAATTTTGAATACAGAGAAAAACTAGGAATGGGGACCAATTTAAATAACACTTGAAATTCATACTTAAAATACTTATAAACAGTGGTATTACCTTCAGATTTGATGTTTCAGCTCCTATCCTTGGTGCAGTTGTATTCCCTGGGCTTTCTGAGATTTGGGTCTGCATGCTTAACTAGTTTTTCCTAGGAATTTGGTACTCTTCATTTGTTACCTTATTGACATTACTGGCCAGTTACCTGGCGAGTTTTGGATTTTTTTCATATTTTCATTTTTACTTGGGGCTGAAGAGAGTAGAGATCATACAAGCTTTTTTTAAAAGACAAATCACCTAGGGATAATTCTTCCCATTTGTGAGAAGAGGGTGTGAAAATAACACTGTAATATAATGGCAGTCATTAGCTTTGTGTGGAACAAGTATTCACCTCTTTAAACAGAAAAGCATCAGAACTCAGTTTTTATTGTGTTTTCCTTACTCTTGGAAGATAATTATTCCCCATGTCTCTTACAGTGCTGTACGAAACATGTCATTTCTGCACAAGTGTGCATGTTTGTCTACGTGTATAATTGTATCCTGTGTTCATTCACAGCATGTTAGGGCTTTTGTGATTTGGAGAGATGTGAATTTTCTGATTGTCCCTGTGTTTTGAAGGCAGAAAACAAGTAAGAGTACTAACTTGATCTTTCAAGTTATGCTTTAATGCTGTCTAGTTCAGAGGAGATGAGTTGGATTCAACTTGTTCTGTCCATCCTTGCTGGGGAAGGCTGTACACCGTGCTGGGCAGTTCCTGGCACAGCGTGTGCTTTGGAGAGTCGGGCTTGAAATGTGTGGGGCTTGGAACTCAGGTTGGAATCAGGATGCCTTGCCTTGTGGATATGCTTCCCACATACTGGCTTTTTTGGGGCTACATTTGCTTTGTAAGATCAGGGGTTCTAAGGTCATGATTTCCATTGTCCAGAGTTCTCTCAGTCAGAAGTATTGGGTAACTAAAGCCTCTGTTCTGCCAGATATATGGCCATTACTGTGTTACGGTGTGCACAGTACCTCAGGGGGATGGTCACCAGTAGACATACAAAGAAATACTTGAATTTCAGAATGAAGTTTTTCCTCATGGCCCCTTATTCTGTTCCCCTTCTAGAGTAGTTAGCTTTTTTCCCTGTTGAAAAGGAAGGAAACATCTTCTGTTGGTAAAGTGTTCATACTTTTTTAAGTTACTTCATCACTGTATCATATTAGAGTCTCACAAAAACCTGGAAGTTACACTATTTCTCAAATAACCAGACTGAGAATGAGAGATTGAGGGCTTGCTCAGGGTCATAGATCTAGGTCCCCTGCTCCATTTAATATGCATGTACCTTAACAAGTGGACTTTTCCTCTACATATTCTGGATGTGTTACCTGTTTGCCTTGTTACAGAGGTCTCTCTCTCCCATTGAAAACAAGTCACTCCCACCTTCCTCCTCTCTCTCTCTCACACACAGCCCCCCTACACGCCCTCACCATGAAGCGCCTGGGTCTGCTCATTTGTGGGAGATCTCTCGAATCTAGCCATTCCAGGGACCTTCTGTGTCATCTGAGAAAACACAAATCATGTTTATTTTACCTTAATATTAAACAGGTTTTGGGTTTTAAAAATAGGTAATCCACGCTTATAAATGATGACTAATAAGCAGACTTTTAAAATGAGAGCTCTGGTTTCCTATCTAATTAAACTGCTGATTTCTCTTAAGTGGAAAATCACGGTCCTTTAAACCCTGCATTTGTATGTAACAGCTGTGTTCTAACAGAAAACTTCCACATGCCTTCGTGTATGTCCTCGGAGTACATGTCATTATTTATTAGAGTCTTTAGATCTTGGTGGCCAGTCTGAAGTTCTTGAGAACATTCTGGACAGATTATTTTGGCTATTCATCACTAAGTGAATCACCACTAAAGGTGTTGGGAGCAGACGGTTCTTGGGGCTCCGTTCATGTGGTCCTGATGCTTTGCTTTTGGATGAATTGATTGCTGGGTAATTTCTGTGTGACAGGAGTATATCAGGCGACAGCTAGAAGAGGAGCAGCGGCACTTGGAAATCCTTCAGCAGCAGCTGCTCCAGGAGCAGGCCATGTTACTGGTAACGCCCCGCGTCGGTCTTGTTGTGCAGTGCTAGGGCCCGCTCATCTGCCCCGCCCCGGGCTCTGCACAGCTGCACTTAGCACTGTGGGCTGGCTGCCAGGTGCGAATGCAGACGTCCTCTGTGGTCAGACTGCTTTGGGCACATTTCGAGGTGGTTTTTATTTACTACTTCCCGTTAATAGTTAACTGTTCTCGTTTGGTAGATGACAGGGTTTTGAACAGAACTTGGCATTCAGAGAACATACTCAAATGCTGAGGACTGAAGGTTCAAAGCATGTGCTGTAGGATTTTTACCTAGCATACTCCAAGTATCTTTTGAAACCACCAAAACCAACACTTAATTGAATTCTCTCTCACTCTGTTCAGTGATACTATGGTTAGCAACAAGCTGTCAGATTTTTCCACAGGTAATATGCTACTTAAAATCCCAGCCATTTTGCTTTGCTGTAAAACAAGGGGGTGGGGAAAGCATTGTGTCTTTAAAAAGTTGAGGATGAATCCAGAGGCGAGGCAAGCATGCCAGTGCCCCATAGATTGATGTTCTCTCCCTCTCCAAGGAGTGCCGATGGCGGGAGATGGAGGAGCACCGGCAGGCAGAGAGGCTCCAGAGGCAGTTGCAACAAGAACAAGCATATCTCCTATCTCTACAGCACGACCACAGGAGGGCACACCCGCAGCTGGTGCAGCCGCCGCCACAGCAGGAAAGGAGCAAGGCCGCGTACCACGGCCCGGAGCCGAAGGCCCACTACGAGCCAGCTGACAGAGCCCGAGAGGTATCTTCTTCTGTTGCTGTTGGTTGTGTGTTGACTCTTCCCTGGAGAGTAATGTAAGGACTTTTCACAGCTGTAGGATGTTGGCACCTGGAGGACCATAGAGACCTGCTGATGTAGGGGGAAAGGGGGCATAGAGGCACCTTTGGTTTTCTGGCTGAGAAACTGAGGAGCAGAGAACTGAAGGGACTAGCCCAAGGTCTGTTAATGCAGTTCATGTTTTTCCTGAGGACCAGAGCACCTCCATTAGCGAACCTTGAACACCAAACAGGATTGTATGGCAGAACTGTTCTTTAAAATGTAAATGGGGGAATGGTGGCCTGGTCATCTCTTTTCTAAAACTGCAGTGAGGGTGAAGTGTGCCAGTGGCTTGGCTTATTGACCTTTCACTGATGGGACTTGTGTCTGGACTTCTGCCTTTGGCCTGCACAGAGTCCCGCAGTGATGAAGGGGCACGGCTGTGCTGTTCTGGGTCACTGGGAAAGGGGCACTGCATCCTGCCTGCAGGCGGCAGCCTCGCATCTTGTGCCCTGCCCTGGCAGAGCAGATTCTAGGAACAAGTGTCTGCTTATTCTGGGGAATGCCCTTATTTTTGGTGGGATGAAATGTGTTTTGGATTCCTGAGCATAGTCTTTTAATCTAATGGTTTAGTTGGTTATGACAGATTGTTTTCTACTTTATCATCATGTATAGTCATAGAATTCTTGTCAAGAAAAGATTTTAAAGGTAGCCGCTCTTAATTTTTATCTTCATAATTATTTCTTTATCCTGATTGAAATCTAGTCCTGGTGCATTTGCCTCCTCCCTCTCCAAGCCACCTCTCTTCCTGCATTTGAAGAAAATGGAAAATTGCTCTTCAGAGTTCTTGAGCTTTCAGGCTTTTTGAGTATCTCTGCTTATCCCCTACTAACACTGAGTTGTGTCTTCTAACTCTCTGATGCAGGTGGAAGATAGATTTAGGAAAACTAACCACAGCTCCCCTGAAGCCCAGTCTAAGCAGACAGGCAGAGTATTGGAGCCACCAGTGCCTTCCAGATCAGAGTCTTTTTCCAACGGCAACTCCGAGTCTGTGCATCCTGCTCTGCAGAGACCAGCTGAGCCCCAGGTAGCAACCACCGGGGGCTGTGGGCTGAGGAGGCTCACTGAACCACAGGCTTCTTATGATGTTCACTTCAGGGTGTTAACCTCCTTTAGAAAGAGAAGAGTAGCAGGAGTGATTTTGGACTAACTCAAAGAAGACATACTCCCAGTTGATACAGAAGAGATGATTTTTTTTTTTAAGATTTCTGTTGCACAATCTAGAGTATCTAGATTGATTTCTTCTTTCAGTCCAACTTTCTGCCTTCACTAACTCAAATGTTCATAAACAAGTTACATCTTCATTCTAATACAAAAATATTTCAGCTTAGCTTTTAGAAGGTTGGTATCATACATCCATAGAGGAAGAAGCCAAACCTTTACTGTGGTCCTTGGCTTTTGGCCATTTCCACGAGAGGGCTTTAAAGAGCCTATGACTGCCTTGAAGTTCCAGGTAGAATGTTTTGATTGGTTGAAATGTGCATTTCCCTTTTCTGGGAAAGGGGCCTTTTTATCAGAATCTCAAAAGGTTCAAGATCCAAATAAGCTACGATCCAGTGGTTAAGGTATAGATTTCCCTGCAGTAGGCCGGGGGAAAGATCGTGGCCTCTCACTGGGTCTGCCACAGCCTTCTGTCGTGTCTGGATGAGTGCTCTATGGTTCAGAGACCCCTCTGTGGGGTTGGGAGAACAAAGTAGATCTCAGTGATTACCCTCAATAAAGAGCTTAGCTCTAAAATGCTGATTCCCACTCTCTTGCTGAAAATAACTGACCCAGACATTTTCCTCCTTTCAGCTGTGTAGGAATATGGGGAACAAGTCCCTGTGCATCGTTTTGTCACTGTTTTCCTTTGATGGGAGACAAAAAGTTCATAGTCTCGTGAGAAATATAGCTGTGATGTTCTGAAAAACAAACTCAAATGAAGATTTGAATGTGCTTTATAGTAAATAATCCCCAGATGGGGAAGATGTTTAAAAAAAAGTAAAGAAGAACCAGGACATATGCAGTGGGTGTGGGGAAGGTGTTGGGAGTCAGGGAGGAAATTACACGGGATCACAGGGGAGTTGACCTGGGAGCAAGTTGGCAACTCCAGAGGGAGAGGAGTGGAAGGAAGCAGGACAGAGTAAAAGGAGAGGCAGGAAGGGAAGAGGGACTCATGGCGTAGGTTTGTGATGGCACTTGTATGAAGAGTCTAGGATTAAAAGTTTTTATTCTGAAATGTAAACTTACCGTTAAGTAGAAAATCTTTCTTATTTATCCACTAACAGTTTAGAAAATACGAGTTCCTGAATTACATGGACCATATTAATGATTAAATAATGTGGTGCTGAAAATAGTTGCCCTTTTCCTCCTCACTGTAGATGTACATCTGTGGAAACATTCTTTGGGGAGACTTTTTCATGTAGGATTCTAACTTTAAACCCATACTTTTAGTTCCATGCTTTCTCCCTTAAAATTTTAAACATTTTAGACTTCTGGGGTTACACCAATAACTGGAGTTATTTCACTTACCTAGAAGTCGTAGCTCTGAAACTAATTTTGAATCTTGTATTCAGAAGGACTGAAGCAATTGTGATTTGATGTTTGCAGTTTTCATTAAGTGCATTGATATAATAGGTATATAGTATATATATTGGAATACTGAACAATTATTTTAAAATAAAATAAAGAAATTACAGATTAATTCAGAGATTGTTTTCCCAATTTAAAAGCTATCAGATAAACTCTGTTGACAATTGTCACATTTCTTTAATTGTCAAGTAGAGGGAAAACTCCAGCAGCAGACAGTTGAGGAAACATAGTACTGAATATTTCTAAGGAAATCAAAGGTTTGAGTGTTTTGAGGTTTGGGAGAATAAAGAAGCAAAACTGTTGGTGTATTTGAAAAGTTGGTTGTTTTTTAAGTTATACAATTATAGTCTGTCAAAGCATGAGGGGTTTTTCTTTGCTCATTAAATGTGTTGTTTTATTATTAACTTGGTCTGAAATTTTACACCACCAGGTAATGTGAGGATGGATAGATAGGTCTGCATGTATGGCAGTGTCTGTCTTGTGATTCTCTCCCTCTCTGCCTGTCCAGTCTCTGCTTAGGCATGGATGTGCATGTAGCACGCTCTTCTCCCCACTTTCAGGACAGGAGGTCTAGAAGTCTTCTTTTTCAATTCTTTTGTTTACTGATACCTGTAATGTTTGTCTGGATATTAAGAGTTTTCCTTATAAATGTACAGTTCTTCTCTACATATTGTGTTCCCCAACCGCTTCTTTACCAGGATTGTACCCGTTTTACTGCGTGGCTTACCTAATGCTGTACCACCCCACTTTGCTTCCCCTGCTAGTTCCTGCTCTGGATTTGGTATTGACCAGAAAAGCGTTGTATGCAGAACGCATTGAATGTTTTGTGTTTTGTTTTCTTGTAAGGTACAGTGGTCCCACCTGGCATCTCTCAAGAACAATGTTTCCCCTGTCTCGCGATCCCATTCCTTCAGTGACCCTTCTCCTCCCAAATTTGCACACCACCATCTTCGCTGTCAGGACCCATGTCCACCTTCCCGCAGTGAGGTGCTAAGTCAGAATTCTGACTCTAAGTCGGAGGTACCTGACCCCACCCAAAAGGCTTGGTCTAGATCAGACAGTGACGAGGTGCCTCCAAGGGTAAGAAGCAGAAAGACAGATGTATGCTGCTTTTTCTTTCTTTCTTTCTTTCTTTTGTTATTTTTTTAAAAATTATTTACTTTAATTGAGGGTATGGCGACTTCACCAGAATTAAGGGGCATATGCAAATAGAATAAAAATATAGCGTATTGGTTGTCTTATTATAAGTTTATATGGAAGCTACAAATTATTTTGTTTAACATTAACCAATACCGAAATTTTTAGAAATTATCTAAAAAGGAAAACAATTAACATAAAAATTTCAAATAAAATGTTTTTTTTCTTTCTAAGTTGAGGGATTTTGTTTGGGGTTTTAAATTTTTGTTTTGTTTTTGATAATTAATGGTGAAACTAAACAAAAAGGAACATTTTAGTGTACGTTTTATCCATTTGGAATTTGCTTCCTCTGAATATTTTCTTGCTTGCTACCAGTCTTTGTTTCCTACTGATCCATTTGTGGAACATTGTTTGGTTTCTTTGAGCTTATTTTTCTGATTCTCACATTATCTTAGCAAAATGCGTTATATGTCCCCTGCCACCATGCTTCAGTCCAAGCATCATTTAAATGCTATAAAGAAGCACTGACAGGCTCCTTCCCTGGCTCCTTTGGTGCCTTGTTGACTGTGTTTACTCTGTCATATCAGTAGAGGGCACGGACAGGTCAGGGTCGAGGGTAGGTTGGTGTTAGGTAAGGCCAACGTGATTAGGGCTGCCTTAAAAATATGTTTTGATAGGGAAATCTTTTTTCTCCTCCTCATATTTTCAATAATTTAATTGCTGTGTTTTCTGCCCCAAAGGTCCCCGTAAGAACAACATCTCGCTCCCCTGTTCTGTCCCGTCGGGATTCCCCACTGCAGGGCAGTGGGCAGCAAAACAGCCAAGCAGGTCAAAGAAACTCTACCAGGTAAAAGAGGAGTAAAGCTAAGGAAAGGCTTACTGTAGTCTCCTACAGTTTGGCTTTGTCTCTTTTCATGAAAATGCTCCTCATTATGAAGTTTTGGGCAAAAAGATGATCAGGTTATAAATGACAAACTGCCATAAAATCCGTTAGCATGAATAATACCAAATTGATCTATAGTGAAAAGAGAACCTAAATTGATTTGTGTGTTGTGGCAGTTTTAAAATGAAAACCACCTGTCTCTAAGAGTAAGTGGAAGAAATAGCAGGGAAGTGGGGAGAGGTTCTGAGAAAATCATAATCTGACAGAGTGTACTATCTGCAGGAAGTCCTAAGGTCTTGGGAGTGGTATAGAATCACAGACAGGCTGGCTGCTAAAGACAACCAGTGATTGGCTTACAGTCTGCAATAAATGAATGAATTTATCAAATAATAGTTTTAGGATCTAGAGCTGTTCTGTACTATACAATAGCTATTAGCCACATGAGGCTACTTAAATTTGAATTTAACATAATTAAAATAAATAAAATCAGAACATCATTTCCTTAGGTGCACTAGCCACATTTTGAGGGCTTAGTAGCCACATTTAGCTAGTGGCTACCATGTTACACAGCTCAGCTCCAGAACATTTCATCACCTCAGTACGTTCCATTGACCAGCACCATTCTAGTGAAACACAAGATTGTTATATTGAATATTTTGTACTTGATCATCACTGAACCTCTGTAGTTAGCCTTGTACACGTGGAACCTCCGTGTACCTTGAAGCCGTGAGATGGAGGGCAGCCCAGAAGCTGCAGAGAGCGTTCTTAGTCCTGAAGCAGTCAGAGCAGACTACAGGACTCTCCTGTGACTGAGCCTGCACGGGCATCCTGCATAGCAAACACGTGCTCTGGATGCGCCCGTGGCAGGGATGGGCATGTGTCCCACACAGCTCAGACAGAGGAGTGTGGATACACTCCATACATGAAAGTGTCCAGGGGCAGTGGGTGAGGGCAGCAGCCTGGCCCTGTATGATTGTGTGTGTCATTGTATATGTGGAGTTTTTTTATACTAAGAAAGTGAGTTCGTAGCTGTGACAGAAACAGTGACACTTCTAGACCCAAGCAGTAACATTTCCTCTCCACCTCTTCAAGACTTTGGGTCTGCTAACAGTAGGCTACCATTGAGAGTTTTGGGTTTGTTAAGATATCTGAGATAAAAATCCATGAATGATGTCAGTAAAACTTGGGGTGAATTTAATATTAAATGTTGTTTCTAGGCTGTTTTTCTCAACATCCATTTGAAACATTGACGTGGGGCAAATAGAGACAGAGACTGCCTGTGTTTATAATTTGACACTGCATCTTGGGACAGTTCCTTAGCTGCTCTCTCCTCTTTTCCAACAGCAGTATCGAGCCCAGGCTGCTGTGGGAGAGAGTGGAGAAGCTGGTGCCCAGGCCTGGCAGTGGCAGCTCCTCGGGGTCCAGCAACTCAGGATCCCAGCCGGGGTCCCACCCCGGATCTCAGAGCGGCTCCGGGGAGCGCTTCAGAGTGAGATGTAGGGGGCCTTGCTTTTCTCTTTCCCTGTTAACAGTACTGGGCTATGATCAGTATTTGGGAAACCCTTCTCAGTCATGTAAGACCTGTGGTTTTTACACAGCCTCCTATCACAAGACAGTGTTTCAGTATAGGTTGCTGAGAACACTAATAGTCGTCAAAATTTTAAATATAAAAGTAATAAAGTTAACTTTTGAGGCTTACACATGCCTAGCACTGTGAGCACTTTACATGCATTATCTCCTTTAATCCTTATAATAATGCCATGGCATGCATTATTTTAACCTACTCATAATAATAGATGAGTAGGAAGTCCCTCTACAGGGTTTTGTGAGCACATGTGAATCCAAGTAAGGGGTTAACTGTAGAGTGCAGCAGTGGGGATTCTGTGTCAGGAGTCAGCCCTCCTGAGTGGGGCTCACAGAGGTAATCTAGCGGGGACAAAAGGCCAGATGGGCAAGGTCAGCTTGGTGACACATGCCTGTATGTTTATATGCATCCGCCTTTCTTGTCTCCAGCATCATCCAAATCTGAAGGCTCTCCATCTCAGCGCCTAGAGAACGCAGCAAAGAAACCTGAAGATAAAAAAGAGGTTTTTAGACCTCTCAAGCCTGCTGTAAGAATTGCACATCCATTTTCCTTGTTTTCATTTCATTTCTAAGATTTTAATACTTGAGTGAGACTTCTCTATTACATTGTGTAGTTGAGAGGCCTGCAGTTCTTTCTGTGGGGCCCCTCAGGTTTGAGAACTACAAGGACAGCCCTACACCTCAGTCACGTATGCGCCACCTTCAGTCATTTAAAAAAATACAAAAGAGAAACCTTTTTGTATCTTTGCTTAGCATTAACCTTTATGTGTTTGTTCTTGATGATGTGGCCATTTACAACACTAGCTTAGAATAATTTTTCTAAGTCACCTTAAACTCACCTGCTTTTAAAATCCTGCCTTTTGGAGCTGGGAGCAGTGGGCATGGCCCTTTCTCCCACTCCTCCTTCAGTCCTTGTGGCACTAACTGCCCATGGAAGCGCATACATCCTGGGGCTGTAAGCTTGTTGGGAGTTTTGATTTCCTGCTTGGACTGACTTCTGTCCTTCCTCCTACTCCCTGGCCTTCTCTCACGCTGCCTCACGCTGTGCATCCTTCACCACTGACGGCTGCTCTCGTTCAATGAAACGCCACCTCGATTGCAGGGTGAAGTGGTAAGCCCCGCCTCTGAGAATCTCAGCATCAGAACAGTGGTCTAACTGCCTTTCAGATTTTGCTTGTATTCACCTACAGTCCTTTTCCTTCTTCAAGTTGCCTTTTTGTTCTTTTCTAGAATTCAAAAACCCACACTTGGGCCTCATCTTTTCCAACACACAAAATTTGTTGCATGCATTTTTTATTATTTCTTAACTCTGGCTTTTAAAAATTAACTTCTTAAAAAGCCACAGCTGTAATCATGAAATAGTTGATAAAATTCAAAGTCCACTGCTTGATCTGTTAACTCCAGAGGCTCAAGCTCAAAGAAACTTGGCCTTAACTGTGAAGAAGAAGAAAACTGGGAACTTCTGAGCAGAAAAGTGGAGATAGCCATATGTCCCACTGTTTAAAAAGTCATTACTTTTAAATAAAATGCCCAACCCAAGTGAAAAGATATATTTTGGCTTTCTATATGAATATGTAGACTATAAATAATAATCACACCTGAAAATCATATTTGGGTAATTGATTGAACCCTAAAATGTACAGTGGAGGCTGACAAAGTCCCTCTTGAGTAGTACCTTCCTCTGTGGATGCTCTTCTCCCTGATGTCCCCATTCATAGGCAGTGTCATGGGGAAAGGTGGGCTGCTGTCAGCCCCACCCCAGCAGCCCAAGCTCTCACCCCCTCCCGTCACAGGGCAGGAGCTGCTAATGCACATGGCAAGTTGTTCGTAGTCAGTGAAGGGGAAGCAAGATAATGAGAGGCATGCTGGTGCTCAATGCTCACTTTTCTGTAGGTTTGAAATTTTTAAAAATAAAAACTTCACCAGATACGTACTTAAAACAGCCCTATTTAACCTAGAATCTTGCTTTTTGGATAATGTCCTCAAAAGAAGACTATTCACAGGCATCTTCACAACAAATTCTAGGGACCTGTCTTCACCCATTTGTTAATCTAGAATTTATCTTAAGTCGAGGGAAAAAACACTATCACCTAAACAGATTGTTATTTTTTTTGTTAGGAGATTGGCACTGAACATCTTTGAGTTTTTGTGGGTTTTTGTTTTTGTTTTGTCTGCCTTTTGACTCTTTTTGGTCTTCTCTATAAACAGCTTTTAAGAGTTCACCTTCATATGCTACTGGTAAATACTCTACAAAACAGTTTTATGGATCTGACAGCACAGCTCTTTTATTATCAGAGCTGCCATTTTTTACTGTTTTTGCCCCACTACTTTTCCCTTTGCCTCACTTTCTTCTGTGCATTAGGATTTGACTGCACTAGCCAAAGAGCTCCGAGCAGTGGAGGATGTCCGGCCCCCACACAAAGTGACCGACTACTCGTCGTCCAGCGAGGAGTCGGGAACAACAGATGAGGAGGACGATGATGTGGAGCAGGAAGGGGCTGAGGAGCCCACGTCGGGGCCAGAGGACACCAGAGCAGCGTCAGTCTTTGGTGTATTTAAGAGAGGATGAAAGTGTCCCCACTAAGCCTTGTTTCCACTTGGGACAGTTTTTCTCAACCTGTCAGAGTCTGTGAACATTTAACACTTAGTTGTTACAGATTCACAGCAGACATCCTTTGTTTCCCCCTTCCGTTCATTTATGTGCATGCATGTCAGTGCCTCTCCCCAGAGCCCTAGTGTGTTTTATTTTTTCTTTTCAATTTGAAGATATGATAAAACGGAAGTTTCAGTTCGGTTTATTTTAACTGTAGCATTCATGCTAATTTTTTCATTCAGAAACACTGTACTGGTAGAAAATTCCTTCTTGCGTGGAAAACGCCAAACATTTTTTTTCCTAGAGGAAACTTTATGTCTATACCCTGATCTCATCTTACGACTTTGAAAAGGTGAAAAATCTAAACCAGGCTATCTTCAACTTGTGGAATTATGACCCTTCACCTCTGGGTTTTTGTCGCAACAGGTCTTCTCTGAATTTGAGCAATGGTGAAACGGAATCTGTGAAAACCATGATTGTCCATGACGACGTGGAAAGCGAACCAGCCATGACCCCGTCCAAAGAGGGCACGCTGATCGTCCGCCAGGTATCCATGTCTTCCCAGCATTGTTAGAGGCTGAGCTTTTCCTGTGGTCATTAACCCACTTGCTCATTCACTCACTCATGCTGTTTCTACATCATCATCTGTTCTCATATTAACAAGACCCCAAGAGCAGTGTGCTGGGGCCAGGGAGGCAGGTGTGTGCTGCATGCCAAGAAGGCAGCCAGCAGACTTCACCCCACATTGCTGCTCCTCTGCATGTTTTGCAGCAGCTCTCATTCAAGCACCACGCTGAGTTTCACAGTCTGTGTCTGAGCAATAGGAAAGCCATGGGGGAGCCCTGCCGAGGGCGGGGAGGCAGCCCCTAGTCCAAAGCAGAGCTCCTAGCTCTGGGGGCCCACGGCACCGCTGGAGAGCGGAAGCCCTAGTCTCGGTCCCAGGGAGGGCCGTGTGGAGCAGAGGGTGGGGAGGTGGAGGTCCGGTCTTCCTCGTGTGTTCCAAAATGTTAGTTTTCTCACTTGTTGGATATTAAATGTGTGCCACCCAGATGTGCTCTGAGATTACCAAGCTTTACAACTGTCTGTTTGTTCATTTCTTAGCTTAGATGTACGGAAAGTGATATGTTCCTCATTCAGCTAGAACGTGGCACCTCTCTGGTATTTTGGATGTGTAATGTATTTGGATAGGAAGTAGGAAGAACATGGAAAAGACCAGGATTGAAAGAAGTGACCGAGTACTTCCTAGAGCTTTACACAGAAAGATGAAAAAGGACACAAAAAAGCCCTAGGGGTTTTGGTGACAGCGGCTAGGGTGATAGAGAAACAAGATTAGACACTCACTGCTCCCATCCGCGGCCACCAGATGGGGTCCTTTGGCTGTTGGCTCAGTTCAGGCATTTGGTGAGAAGTGTGAGTAGTTGAGGCCAGTTTCCTCCGGTCTTTCCTTGACAACTGAGCAGAGTTTGAGAAGTCACACAGCACATTAAACAAAGTCAGGTATCAGTAGGGTCATAGGCAATTGCAGCAGCGCTTGAGCGAGACAAGTGTGCCTGTTTTTTCTACAGAGTACAGTTGACCAAAAGCGTGCCAGCCATCATGAGAGCAATGGCTTTGCCGGTCGCATTCACCTCTTGCCAGATCTCTTACAGCAAAGCCATTCCTCCTCCACTTCCTCCACCTCTTCCTCCCCATCCTCCAGCCAGCCGACACCCACCATGTCCCCACAGACACCCCAGGACAAGCTCACTACTAATGAGGTATGTCTCGCACCACAGCTGGCTGCTTCCCTAGGGTCAGACCAGCACCGCCGAGTACTAGCTTGCAGGGGAGACCTTCCCAGTGCCTCTCCCCCTCCCCTACCCACCCACCTTCTTGTCACCTGCCCTTCTCCCAGCCCCCAAATAACATGTGTTAGGTCTGCATACAGATCCCTTAACCATAGAGCAATTTCCCTCCAGACTTGCCGGTTCAGGGCACTGTTCCCTTTTCTCTAGATAGTGTAGTTGCATGGCTTTCTTTGTTCATTTTACTTTTTAAAAGTCTAAATAAAATGATTGCTGTGTTCTCAGATCCATGATATATTTGGCATGAAATTCTCATAGTCGTTTGTGGAATCTGCTCTTTTAATTCTTTTTATCCAATAAATGAAATGCAGAATAATTTGATTCAGCAGACTTGGCCTTACTGGACAAAATTGTTACCCTGTACAGGAATCTCCTTCAAACAAGGCCAGATCGTTTTTGTGTTTGGGGGTGGATTATGGGTTGATTACTCTTGTTTTTGCCAACCCTGTTAAAAAGACTTTGAAATTCACAATTTCACAATCCCTGTGAAATTCACAATCAGTCAGAGTTGAAGCAATCAAGTGCTTTTCAGGGAAACCTAGATTAGGATGTTAAGCAAGAATGGCAAAGGTCTTGAATATGCTTTTTAACTTGAAATTTTTAGTGGGAAATCTGTGTGGTTCGCTCTAAAGGCTTGGCTGTGGTGCTCAGTCACGGTGCTGCTTGGGGGAATCCTTTGCTCTTTGGAAGAGGCTTATACCCCCAAATGCAGTGAGAGTCCACCCTGAACACCCTGTACTTAAACAAGTGATTTTGATGTCATGGGAGGTTTGGTTTCAACACACTTGTCTAACAGCAGAGGTTGAAAGCTGCATATAGCCTCAGCCAATCTTGTCATTGTAAACATTTAACTGCCAGCCGGGCTGCCAGCTCCTATTTTGGTTCCCTTGTTAGAAAGAACCAGAACAATCCTGTCCCCTGAGAAGCAGAGGCAAGCTGAGCACTTCCTAGACAGGCTTGGCATCAGATTGGCCATTGGCCAGATTGGCCACTGCTCATGGGACAGGGCGGGAAAGCCTGTAGGCAGCTGTGTTGGTAGGAGCTTAGGAGGGCGTGGACTCGGAGGGTGTGGGCTCCAGGGCCTGGGGATTTTCAGCTGCCTATGGCGGATGGAAAGGTACAGGATGGAAGCACTTGATCAGACATGTTCCTTTTCTCCAGTGATAAGTCCCACCTGCACTCACATTCCTCCTTATATTTGAACTTTGCTCCATTTTGTGCTAATGTACAGTATTTACTATCGCTCCTAACTCACTAAACTGGCAAGTTTATTTTTGTTTGTTTTGTTCTTAATTGTCATTACATTTCCACTTAACAATTTGTTTCACTTTCTTGTGTTTTTTGATTTTTTTTTTTTTGTCTTCAGTTACGCTACTAACCAAGACACTAGCACTCCTAGGAGAAGGGATATGCCTTATTTTGTCATTTGCACCTTTCACTAATGAGCCTGTTTGATACAGGTTTGATGATGATGCACCTAACTATGGTAGCCAAAACTTCTGTAGCTTTCTGGCAAGAGGCTCACTTTAAAATAAATAGTATAAAATTAAGATTTGTCAGTATTCTATCACAGAATAATTGGACTTTTGGAGACAGGAGAGTAGATTCAGAAATTGATGAATTGAGACCAGGACATTTCAAACCTCCTTTAGGAGTTTTCATTACAATTATTTATTTACAAAAAGCTAGGAACGTGAAGTATAGATTTTGTTGGTAGCCTGCAGCATTCCTGTCTTAGATGAACAATATTTCTGAAAAGAGGTGTAGCGCCTTCAGTGGTTCAGGTTCAGCAGCCTGCACTGGGGAGTGTCATGCACATGCAGAAGTGCCCTTGAGAGCATTTTGGGGGGATGATGCTAGAGGGATGGGCTTTTGCATTGGGGAGCATTGCAGTATAGAACTGGATTGAAATGCTTTATGTTCATCTTTTTAATGTCATTTGTATTAATAAAATTGAAATTTACATTGCAGACTCAGTCCGCTAGTAGCACACTCCAGAAACACAAATCTTCCTCCTCCTTTACACCTTTTATAGACCCCAGATTACTACAGATTTCTCCGTCTAGTGGGACAACAGTGACTTCTGTGGGTAAGTAAAAGCTACCAGCAGGACAGTAGCTGGCAAACAGGACTTTGGTCTCTTTGCATTGCTTTTTCTGGTGGCTTGGGCCTGGCCGGTGGTCGTCCACAGGCTGACCTGGGATACAGAAACACCCATCTGCTCATGTTGCTTTATTTGCAACAAGCGGCATAGTCAATTTCCTTTTTCCATGTACATTTCTTACAAGTTTCTCTTGACAGAGTTAGTTAGGACAAATGAATATTTAGTTGAGGTATGGTGGGGGAGGGAAGCAGCTACAGCATTTGTATGTACTGAAAATAATTTCAAGTGTACTGTATTTCAGTGGGATTTTCCTGTGATGGAATGAGACCAGAAGCCATAAGGCAGGACCCTACCCGGAAGGGCTCAGTGGTCAATGTGAATCCCACCAACACTAGGCCACAGAGTGACACCCCAGAGATTCGTAAATACAAGAAGAGATTTAACTCTGAGATCCTGTGTGCTGCCTTATGGGGTAGGTGTCTTGCTGTTCTTCTGACACTTTCATTTTTATTCTGAAGGGTGAGCTGGTTTTAAAGAGAAGTACTCCTTTGGGAGTTTGGGATTTCTTGCAGAGTTGTTGACAGATAAGGCGGAAATGCCGCCCTCCGCGTGCTGCTCCCTGGGAACCCTGCAGGCCAAGGGGCCGCCTTCTTGCGCTTGTTTGGGCCACTGGGTGTGGCAAAGGATGCCTGATATCTGTCTCTTACATAAAAAAGAAGTTAAAAGATGAGAAAGACGTTTGGATTGGTCCATATTTATAGGGAAAATGAAGAAATGTGTTGAATTGCTTTCAATGTTTCCGTTTAACACTTTTTCTTGCTTTTTGTGACTTGGGCCTAACATGTAAATGAAGCTTTTAAAAGCAATCTGCCAGTGGCTGAGAGACTTGCGGAAGGGGGGCTGTTGAGCTGACGATACCTGCAGGGCTTGTGTAATACACCAGGAGAGGGTATTCAGTGGAGGCTAGGGCTGCTCAGAAGCCTGCCTTTCTGTCAACCCTGGCCCATCGCCTTCTCACTCCCACAGAGAAACCCTGCTTCTGGCTGTCCCTGTATTCCAGTCCCACACTTGGCTTTTATTCTCCTCCTCCCTGAAATAGGGGCCCTGCTTCTGCTCAGCAAAGCTTGACTCCCTCGATGTTGCTGCCCGTTCATGGTTGGAGTCCACAGCATGCCCTGCCCCATATGTTCCCAGGAATGTCATCCCCAGGGACTGGGCAGCTCTCCCCGCCCCTCCCACCTGGCCCCTGGCGGCTCAGCCACACCACGCCTGTGCCCACAACCTGGGAGGCTGGTTGGTTGGGGAGCACTCACCTTCCTGGCTCCAGCTGTCCCCACTCTGCCCTGTAACCCGATACTCCTCCTGTGGGTTGCCCCTCATCAGCTGTCCCGAGGATTCGGGAAGGGTCCTCTCCACCGTTGCTGGCACACCTGCTCTCCCTTCCATTCCCTGACATCTGATTTCTGTCCCCATCACTACTGAGCACTTTACATTCTCTCAGGAACATGGGCCTTTTATTTATGAACCTCCCTGTGAAGGTCACAGTGGCCATTTGGGGGTTGGGTCAGGGACCCGGGAAAGCTGCTGGCCTGCCTGGGCACCACCCTGACTTGTGACTGTGGTTCAGTGAGTTTCGGTGACTGTGTCAGGGAGTTCAGTTTGTCATTTTCATTCATGTTAAAGCTATGTTTATATCGTCACAGGGATTACATTATATTCAATTGTAGAAAGAGTGTTAAATCTATTGATTCTTTCACAATTGGGAAGTGATTTTTATCCAGAAGGTTTGCACATGTTTTATATTCCTCTCATGTCCTACAGGGTGTTGAACCCCATTCTGTGTGCCTTACTGATTATTTTAAACTAAAATCCTTCCTTTTCCTAATTAATTTCTTCAACACCTCCATGAAGACTGGGAGAGTATCTCAGGTCTGTGTATTTAAAAATATAGTGGAACTTTCCATTTTATCATTAGGTTAAAAGAGGATTAACAGAGAGGACTTGCAGTTGGAATGTGTTTCTCTAAATCACTGTTTTTGAGTTGCCCCTTGGCTAGGGGTACATCAGTGTTGGATTTCCCTAAATTGCGTGTGGTAGTTGTCAGTTACCTTTTAGGTTAAGTTAAAAATCAAGCCTCATAAAGACTTAAACCCAGAAAAGTTAAAACTGGACAGTGAGAACTGTAGTCTGATGAGAGGAGAAAGCTCAGAGGACCCCTGAGTATTTGAAATGGTGATGCCAGGGCTCTTGTTCACAAAGCCAAAGAACGAGTTTCACAAACAGTCAAGGTAGGAGAGCAAGGTACAGGCTTTTATTTAGAGATAAAGGACAGAGCTCCCGGCTCACGCCAGGAGGGGACAAGAGAGTCTGGGGTGGTACGTTGTCTAGGGGGTTTTATAGGCAGATGAGGATTTTTTGAGAACATGAAAAAAAGCTTAGGGGTGTGGACTTACTAAGTGGTCCTAGGATATTTACAAGTAACTCGATACAAGGAACCTCCTGCTCTGTTCATTCCTCCCTGAGATACCAGCCTCTTGGTCTGGGGGCATATGAAACAGGGCCACCTGCTCAGACCCCAAGGTGGGTTGAGGCATTGTTTGCTAAAGAGTAAGTTAAGTGCAGTCTTATCTTTAAGGTGAAATCCTTCTTGCCTTTGACTGTGTTCTGGCTGGGCTTGCATGCTAAATTAGTTTGCCTGGTTTGCAAAATCACCTCATCAGATCTGAAGGAGGAAAGACAGCTCGTAGCTCTGGGCCTTTTAGCATGTTAAAGTGAATCTTATACATGATTATAAATGATTGACATGAAATAAACATGTGCTACTCTTCTTTATCTGGGGTACACCAACTGATCTCACTGAAGAATGACTCTAGAGCTGAATGTTTAACACAGAGTTTTATTAGGGGGGTTTTCTTGCATGTAGTTACATGGCTCTGACTGCAAATATCTTGCTTTTTTCCCTGAGGCCCTCACCCTACTCTGACTACACTCACGGTCCTTGTCTCAATCGTAAATTGATTCATTTACATTCTGGTGACCAGTGTCAGACAGGTTAGCCTTTTGTGTACCTTCTTAGAAAATGCTTACAGCAAGCATTCTTTTCTGATCATCTTACATAACTGGCTTTCGTTTTGTAAATTGCTTCTTATATTTTTTAATAAGACCATTTTCCTATTTTCAGTGAGCATTATTTTAACACATTTTGAATATGATTGTTTCCATTCTTATATACATAATGAATTGTCTGAACTTAACAGTGATTTGCCTATAAAATAATTTATCATAGAATTTAAAGGAAATGTTTAATCACATTATAGAACTCTTAGTCATTTTCCCCACCAACCACACCAGATTCCTGTGTGTGCAATTGCAATTCCTAGCACAGCTTATTTATAAGTTACTTATTTAGTGTATGTACAGCACAGCTAATTTACACCAGTTAGCATTATAAAATTTAATTACATCTAACAGCTGAAAGGTTTAAGAAGGGTATTTATTAAAAATTACTGCATTTTAATAATTGCATGCAACTCAAATTTTTTCACAGGCCGATAATTCCCAAGGTAGTTACTTTCCAGTAACTTCCTCTGTTCCTTTGACTGCTAGCACCTGGCACTTTACATAATCACAGTTCAGTATGTAGTGCAGAGTTAGAAGGTGGGATGTAAGTGCCAAAGTACGGCAGTTTTCATGTGTAAGAAAAGATGTTTTCAGCTTTATATTTTATTCCTTCATTCTTGTTTACTGTAAAATCTTGATTGATAATTTGAATGCTGTTTGTTTTTGGAAACCACATATAACAGGATGATTTAATAAGGTTCATATTTGGAGTGATTATTAGTAGATTCTTGACATGGATGTTTTTGTCTGCTTGATAATTGAAGATTGACCAGAACAGGAAGGGAATAGGACATGAGATGATGAAATAGAACATAAAGTGGAGCCTTTGTGAATGAGAGCTCTACCAATTAATGTTTGGCCTCTTTTCTGCAGCAAATAACTTTAAAGCTATTTAGAATTACATAGGTGTGTTGAGGGAAAACACTCAGAATAACAGCCAAATAAATTTTACATAGACAGGAAGGTAGTCATGGAAATGTGGCCAACCTCAGAAGTGAAAGCATATGCAAATGAGCGGAGCATTAAATTCTCTTAGTCTTATGATTAATATTTTTAATTTGATAGCAGTTTCTTTTTCTTAGCATTGAGTCACTAATGTGTATGATGTTTCTAATTAAAGACCTTTTCTGTTGTAAGCCTTAACAAGCATGAGCCCATGCTTGAGCTCTAGTTCAAAGCCATGATATCTGATTAATGAAATATTGGTATTATCCATACCTGGACTGGTTATTATGTCAACATTAGTCTCAGGTAGCTGTTTAAATTTAATTGAATTAAAATAGAAAATCCAGTTTTTTGGTTACACCAGCCATACTTCAAGCATTGAGTAGCAACTTGCGGTGTTCACCACATGGAGGTCACAGTAAGGAAGGGCTCGTCCAGATGGTACATTCTCAAAGTCCTAACTGTAGGTGCTGGAAGAAGACACATGCAATTCTAATAAGCCTTTTCCTACGGTGTACAAATGAGCATGTTTTGAGGGGTTTGTTTGTTTTTAAGGATCATTCTATATGGGGAGTGAATCCTCAGGTTTTTACCATGTCCCCTAAATTTCAGAGACTTCCCTCAGATTTCCTGAAGCTGATTTGTTGCCTGCCAGGCTCTGTCAAAACTGTCTCACTAAAATCTCCTAGCTGGAAAGTCACCTGTGCTGTAGAGGGGAACGGGGCAGCTCAGCACATGGGTCTGCTCTGTGAAATGGACACTGTTTCCACAGGGCAAAACAGGGAACCCATATTTGGTGCTTGGAACCTGGTTTTTAGTAGGGACTTTTATCAGTGGACACTATTATCAGAAACTAGAGATGTCTGTTCTAATAATTCATGAGGATTTCTTTACGTGCTTTACAGTTTTTGATGACTCTGGGATGGTGGTTTGTTAGTTCAGAGCCTGCAGTGCTTCTGACTGTATTCTGCCATAATTCTGCATGTGTGTGCCTGGTGCTCTGTTAGCTTCTGAAGTTCTTATTCACATTTGAGTAGCAATGACAGTAAGTATGTATGTAAATCCCAAGTTCTACACTTTCCCCCAGGTTCCGAAAGGAGCTTCCAGTCCTCACAAGGGTTGCCTGGGTGCATACTGTCTGCATACTGTTCTCCAGGCGTTGGAGTTTCTCCTATTCAACACAAAGCTGAGAGAGGAGAGGACTGAGGGTATTTCTTGTTGCCTTCACAACTGTTCACTTGAAATTTTCTGGAAAGTTGTGTGTGTGTGTGTGTTAAGGAATCAGTGCAAACACGTGTGTGTGTGTGTGTGTGTGTGTTAAGGAATCAGTGCAAACACATGTAGTTCCCCTGGGGATATAAGGTGATTTGTGTTGCATGTTACAAAGTTATATGGGACAGGGAAGGTTTAGACCGAGCAAGCAAGTGCATTTGGGGAAGTGAGTGAATGGTGACCAGGGAGAAGTTGGCTCAAGGAGCAGAGATTTGAAAGCTGATCAAGGCTTTTGTGTGCTTTCCCACAGAGAGTGTAGTTCTTAACGATGCAGTGTGACTGCATAGGTACTGTAGGAAGATTAGGATTGTTCTGATGTGCGGTCCTGAGAGGACAGAGGGGTGCCGTTGTCTCGGCCTCAGTTAAAAACCCCTTCCGCAGCCATCAGTTATAAGGTGACCGAAGCCTGACATCGGGAGAGCGTGCAGAGGAAGGGGAAAAGGAAGGAGGCCTATGGTGCTGGTGGCTGGTGTGGCCAGTTTCATGGAACAGTTACGGGAGAGGGTGGTGCTCTCGGTAGAAACAGCAAAGGCCAAGAAACTGGTTTCAGGAGAGATTTATAGCGGGTCGGAAAGCAGGGAGGGTGGGGTATGGAGTGAGGAGCTAATGGACCTGACGTGCTCCTCCAGCAGATGGACGGCGCAGCCACCTGCATGGAGGCAGCAGGGAAGGCGCGTGGTAGCAGGGATGAAGATGGCGGAAGCCTGGCAGTGCCTTGTCAGAGGGCGGGTGCCACACGGACGCCCCCTGTTGAGTGCCCCTCAGAGACCAAGGGGCAGAGGACAGGGCGCAGTTGTTCCTTGATGCCAATGTAGGGTGGTCTGTAAGAAAACAGTGATCCAAGTGATAGAAGCCAGCGAATCAAACTTTTGAGGACTTAAGGGGGCTCCCTCTATAAAGCTCATTTCAGAAGTTTGCCTGTGAAAGTAAAGACAGATGAAGGCAGCACGAAGATTATGGTTGCAGGCGAAGCTTTGTTAAAGTGTCTAATGTGGCTCATGAGATGTAGAGCTCGTAATACCACGGAGATGATGAGCGAGATACATTCTGAGGGACTGAGGAAGAGCGGGGATCTGGCGGCTGGAGAAGGAAATCGGGACGAGGCTCGCTCACCTCCCCCTTAAGGTCCTTGTCTGGGTTTCAGTGACTACCTCCCCACTCCTCCTTCATGGTGATTTGTTGCAGTTGGTTACTTTAACCTGTGACTATTCTAAGCCTTTCTTTATGGGAATGAGTTAAGGAAACACTTTTCCAGAGAGGTGGTATTATCCTTTCCATACAACCAGGTAATTTGCCAAGCACAGTGTAAAATGTAGGCCCTTCTGTGTCTTTGAAACAGGAGTGAATTTGTTAGTGGGTACAGAGAGTGGCCTGATGCTGCTGGACAGAAGTGGTCAAGGGAAGGTATATCCTCTGATCAACCGAAGACGATTTCAGCAAATGGATGTCCTTGAAGGCTTGAATGTCTTGGTGACAATATCTGGTAAGTGTTTATTTAGTAGATCAGGATTATAGCACTGTTTAAAAACACAGTGCTTCCCAGCACTAAACTTCATTTAACTCATTTTCTGAAGTAATGTAATTAAGTGAGATAAAACTAGCATTTTACAGTAATACAATAGGAGAATGTATTCAGATGTCCACTGTCACAGTCAGACTGTCTGCAGAGCAGTCTGGAAATGCCCAGGGGTGTGCACTTAGAGCAGGTGTCTCCCACGCAGTCCACATGCTGCCCTACTGCTGGTTGGGTGTAATTGGGTGCATCCAGGGTGAAGGTTGTCTGCTTCCTCCCATAGGGCTCTCATGCAAAAACAGCCACTCCTTAATGTAGTGGTTAAAGTATTGTATGATGTTCCTTCCTTATGCCAGTTAACACTGTAAGTTTCTTTTTAGAGCATTTTTCTTAGTATGAATTACATGTGTTCATTGTAGAAAGTAAGAAGCTACTGCAGAAAAGTAAGTCAGAACTAAAAAGTAAGAACATCTATTAACTTTTTTTAACCTCCAATCTTGTAAGCATATGCACACTCAGAACGCTTAACAGGAGAAAATCTGTACAAAAGTGGGCATGCACTATTTGAGGCTTAGAGAATACGCAAGAATAATGTGACAGCACATACTGACTGGCTAGTTCTAACATGTTGAATGCACTGTTGTATGTATAGTTAGCATCCCCCTCCATGTCCAGCCTCCAGGCCACCAGTGGTAACCACTGCCCAGAGGGAGAGTGTATTCTATCCCTTTCTGTTTGTCCAAACCATGTGGCCTGCTCTTCCTGTGTTATTAAACACTCCTCCAAGATACCCATTTCACACGGTTACAGAATGTTCTTTGCATAGATGTACTAAAATGTATTTATAATTAGGTTGTATTGTTTTTCTATTTTTGAGTTTGAAGAGCTCCTTGTGTATTTTAGGTACAAGTATTTTATCAAGATAAGTGTTTTGCAAATCCTTCCTTCCAGGCTGGGGCTTGTCTGTGTATTAACAGTGTCTTTGGCAGAACAGAAGTTTTTCATTTAGTGAAGTCTAACTTAGCAGTGTTTTTTTAACACCAAATGCGTGACCTAATAAAGTACTGAGGAGATTGTACCTAATTCTCCTCCTATGTTAATACCTCCTAGAAGCTTGTAGCTTTGCGTTTCATATTTAGGTCTATGACCCATTTTGAGTTTACTTTTGTGCAAGTTTTTAAAGCATCTGTGTAAATTCACTCTTTTTTTTTTCTCATGTGGATGTCCAGTTCTAGCAACATTGGTTGACTAGACTCTCCTTTCTCCATTCAAATTGCCTCAGTTTCTTTGTCCAAGTAGTTCATTATACCTCTTTGTGGGCCAATTTTCAGGTCTTTATTTTGTTCCTTTGATCTATTTGTCTCTTATTTTGTTAATACCACACCATCTTGATTACTATAGCTTTGTAGTAAATCTTGAAGTTGGATAGTGTCAGTCTTCCACATTGTTCTTATTCAATAATGTGTTGGCTGTTACAGTTCTTCTGCCTTTCCATATAAACTTTAGAATCAGTTTATCAATATTCACAAAATAACTTGCTAGGAATTTGATTAGGATTGCATTGACTTTATAAGTCAAGTTGGGTAGAACTGACAACAATATTGAGTCTTCTTATCCATGATCATTGAATATCTCCATTTATGTAGATCTCCTTTGATTTCTTTCTTTAGAATTTTGTAGTTTTCTTTATAGAGATCTTGTATAGAACTATTTTGTTAGAGTTTAAACTGTTTTTTAAAATTTCCAATTGCTTGTTTCAAGTATATAGATAGGAAAGTGAATGGATGACTATTGTATATTAACCTTGTATCTTCCAGCCTTGCTATAATCACTTAGTAGTTTCAGGAGCGCTTTTTTTGCCAGTTCTTCAGCATTTTCTACCTAGACAATAGTATCTTATGTAAACAAAGATAATTTTATTTCTTCCTTCCAATCTGTATGCCTTCTATTTCCTTTCCTGTCTTACTGCATTAGCTAGCACATCCAGTATGATGTTTAAGGTAAGTGGTGAGAAGGGGACGTCCTTCCCTTGTTCCTGATCTTAAAAGAGGAAAGTTACCTAGTTTCTCATCATTACATAGGATTTTAGCTGTAAGTTGTGTGTAGTTGTTTCTTATCAAATTGAGGCAGTTCTCTTGAGAGGTTTTATCATGAAAAGGGTGCTAAGTTTTGTCAAATGCTTTTTCTGCATCTATTGATACAATCATGATTTTTCTTTAGTTTGTTGATGTGTCTGGCTTCATCTGCTCAACATTGTTTTTATTGTTGCTTATAGCTATAGTTTATTCCTCTTTATTCTTATGTATGACTGTCCCACAATTTGGTTACGCATTCTGCTGTTGATAGACAGTTGTATTTACCTGTTGGGGCTATTATGAACAATGCTGCCGTGACCATTGTCTTCTTCATATATATGGGGGTTCATACACACACGTTTGTATTAAGAGAAATTAATTACCTGTTAAAAAGTAAGGTGTACATATATATCCTACTTTTATAGATAATGCTAAGCTTTTTAAAATGGTTTTCAGTTTACAACACTAGTTACTAAAGTTTCTAGTTACTCCACATGGTCCCTACTTTCAGTCTATTACTTTTCAATTCTCAGTCCTCTGATCGGTGTATGAAATTGTATCTCTATGGTTTTAATGTGCATTCACTACTGACTGTTGAGAGCAAGTACCTTTTCGCGAATCTGTGAGATTACTATTTTTGCGGTCTAGTTAGTTGCTTGCTCCATTGTTTGTTGCATTCCCTCTCTTCTAATTGATGTATAGGAATTCTTTACACATTCTGGATGTAAGTCCGTTGTCAGTTCTGAAGATGCACACATCTCTAATTTACAGCTTGCTTTTTGCTGGGTTTGAGTCCCTGTATTGGGTTATTTATTCAACCCTTTGTGCTGTCAAATGGGCAGTAATAGCTACTCTGGAGAGTTTTGAAAATCAGATGACATAATGAAATGTGAAAGCATCTTACAAGCTCTATCAGTTATATTGTTGTGCATATGTTTGTATTATTTTGTGCTTTATTGATACAGTTTCATCTACATAAATGTGAGTTCTTTATTTTTCTAAAATCTTTCCCTCTAACTCAGGCCTACACATGGTGATAATTCTGTAGGGGTTTCAAAAGTCCCTCTGAATAGCTTGAATTGAGTTTCTTGTAAAACTGATAGAGAATGGTTCTCTTAAGGGGATTATACTTACTGTTTTTTGAAATTCTTTTGGTTACTATTGTTACTAATGATACCTACTTTTGAATATGCATGTAAAATACTTATTTTATTTTGCTAGGCAAAAAGGATAAGTTACGTGTCTACTATTTGTCCTGGTTAAGAAATAAAATACTTCACAATGATCCAGAAGTTGAGAAGAAGCAGGGGTGGACAACCGTAGGGGATTTGGAAGGATGTGTACACTATAAAGTTGGTAAGTTCCAGGAGGGTCCTAAGGATTTTGTTTTTCCAGGGATTAATTCATGTTCCATTTAAAATTCACATGTTCTTTGGAGCTTTTAATAATTTACAATTCATGTGTTCATTGAGGCTTTTAATAATCTTGTTTCTACACATAGTTCATTTCTATTATTTCATTTCTGCAGCATCTTCCGTCTCTGAAGTGGTGCACCTTGAAGCATAATATAGTTCATTCATTCCTACTGCTCCCTCTGACCTTTGTCCATCTCATCCTCTCCGTTAGTCTTGTAAGAAAGTTGTTTGATCCTTCTCTGACAGTCTACATCCTTCTTTGTAGGAGTGGTTCATAATAACTCCTCTCAGGAAGGTGGTTACCAAAGGAAAGCCACCCGATCCAAATCCTTCCTTGTGCTACAGGCTTATTCTCCATTTAGAGGACTGTGGGTCTCGGGTGGTCACTGACAGAATGCTTGCCCAAAGAGCTGTGGCTTGTCATTTCGAATTAAGTGCACTGTGCAGAGCTACTATGCTTCTTAGTAGTAAATAGGTCTAGCTGGTCTATCAGTGTTCGTGGCAACTAACTGTGTTTTTTTCTTCTTGGCATATATGCCATAGTTCTCATGAAATGAAATTTCACAAGAACAAAATGAAAAGAAATTTGTGTGTGAGAAAATGTTAAAATACTGGTACTAATATTGGAGGTCAAGGGGAAATAATGGAGCTAAGACAAATTAAAGTTTTATTGAAGAGATGATATATTTTAATAGAATTTAAAATAGGAAATTGAGAAAATAACAAATGGGCCTGTATATACACCAAAGACTGATTAACATAAGGGGTTCATTGAATGTTGATTTCTGCTTATGTTTTCTTTTTTTTCTATGTTCATAAAGTGCAGTTGACCCTTGAACAACTCAGGGTTCCCCCCCGCCACTGAAATGCACAGTCAGGAATCTGTGTGTGATTTTCGACTCCCCTAAAACTTGAATAGCTTTCTGCTGGCTGGAAGCCTAACCAATAACATGGTCAGGCACATGTTTGGTATATTACATGTATTATATGCTGTATTCTTAAAATAAGCTAGAGAAAACTTTTTTCAAAATTGTTGAAATCTCCAAAAACTTTTCCAGTATATATTGAAAAAAATCTGCATATAAGTGGACCCATGCAGTTCAAACCCATGTTGCTCAAGGGTCATTTACAGTCAGTTTCTCTGTTCCCAGGAATACTATATATAATCTTTGACCTTGTCTTGTTTATGTAATCTGTCCACAACACTCACCTCATTGTTTAATATAATTGCAGGGCCATCCTAATATTGGGATGATTCTGAGTGAAACTGGAAAACAGTATTATCTCTTGGTTTAGATTTTGGGATTAAAATTTTTTCTGTGTGTTTATGTGAAATAGTTTTGTGTGTTGAGATGTAACCAAAATCATCAAAGGACATATTTAATGTAACAGCTCCTGGCAGCTGAAATGTACATGAATAGATTGTCCTACAGGGGGAACTAGAGGCAAATATGTTAGAATGTTACTGGGCTTTTCATCAGAACAAAACAGTCCTCGGCCCCGCCATTCTTGGAGAATGAGTTACAAATGTTTTCTGGAGATACGAGTGTATAATACCATGCATTTGTTACCTTTGCATTTAAGGAAATCCTAGTTTATCAAGAACTGGGCTGTATAGTATGGTTCTATCAAGAACAGGGAGCTATTTAAATTTATACTTCAGTTAATTAACATGAAATAAATTGGAAAAGTTAGTTCCTCGGTGACTCTAGTACATTCCAAGTGCCCAGTAGCTACGTGCAACTAGTGGCTATCATATCACAGATAGAGATTACAGTATAGATAAAAAATCTTTCCAGTATTGCAGAAAATTCTATTAAACAGCACTGTTTTGGACAACCTTTTATCCTTGTGACTTAACATTAATGTCTGATTTATTGAATAGTGACAATACATGGAATTTAACAAGTAGAGTTAGGGTCACAGGCCATTTCTCACGTACAGAGGAAGAGTCAGGTAGTACTTTGATATTAGATAGCAAAGAAACTGGTCGGTCTGCACAGACCAGTAAGTTGTGTCTGGTCAGGACCCCTCAAGAGTATGTGTTTCTAAGCAGAGTTGCCTGGTCGTAAGAATCGAAACAGCCGTGCAAAGGAGGCATGTTTGCTTATCTATTATATATGGGGTGAAGAGAGGTTTCCTTTACTCTTGCTCTTTTGATACAGAATCCTCACCTCTGAGGATGAGTAACTGGTTTGAAGTGATACCTGGTCCTTGTACACAGAAACAGACAGACTTCAAACTGAGCTGATGAGTATTTTGACACAGCCTTCTGTGTTCCCCAGTCTGTAAGCCCCATGTAGGACACGCTGCTAGTCCTGCCACATGGAAGATCTTGTATAATTTGGGAGCCTCAAAGCTGATGAATCTCTTTATCCTTTGGAAATAGTGCTAAGCCCTTGAGGCTTTAGGGGGTGCTGTGTGTGGCACTGCCCTTGATTACTGAGTTCTCGCAGTCTGGTAGGCCAGGAGCCCTGGTGACAGCACTTGTTGACAGTAACCCAGGTATTGGAGTTGAGTCCAACACAACATCAAGAAAGATGGGAACAGCATGAGTTACACATTGAAGAATTGGAAAAGGAAACTGTGAAACTTGTTTTCAACAGTTTTCTCCTGTTGGTTTGGATGAATCTAGAAGGCATTTTATATACTTTACAGGAAACACCTAAATAGATTTAGAGTTCATGTTGATACTGACCTGTGTTCTTGTTTGTTTTTTCAGTAAAATATGAAAGAATCAAATTTCTGGTAATTGCTCTGAAGAGTTCTGTGGAAGTCTATGCATGGGCACCCAAGCCATATCACAAATTTATGGCCTTTAAGGTAACAGCTTAAGTGTACTCCAAAGTAGAGTCAGACCTGCATGCTGTGACCAAGAGCCAGGGAATGAGTTAAAAAAAAACCTTGCATACTTGAGGCGGGTTGTTTGAAAGCTATGTACTAACACTGTGTAACTTTACCAGAGAGAGGGCAGACATTTTGATCAATATACCAATTTGGTAATAGAGGAAAAGACAAAATAACCCCACCTCCATTTAAAAAGCAGACCGTGACCTTGTAACTAAAGTCATGGTTGTGTATAAAGATGTAGATGAATTTTTGATAACAAAAAAGTATCCATCCAATAGTAGGCAGCCTTCAGGTAATTCAGAAGAGTACTAATTAAGAATTAAATGACAGAAACTCTTAATGATATAAGGAGTAAGGTGTATTATATGTTAAATAGGAAAAGTAAGTTAAAAAATCTGTATACTATGCCATTTTTGTTTAAAAAATCTATAGTAAAATATGTTATTTTGTGGGCATTTTTAATATTTTTTATAATTCTAGAGTTTGCACTAAATACAAATTTATGAAATTCTTAATTAAAAATAATTTTTAACAAAGAACTAAAGAGCTTTCTGACTTCATAGTACATTCAAGAATAATCGTTAAGAGTATCACAGCTAAAAGCGAAGCGTATTTATAGTTTTGTTACACATTTTTTTGAAAAAACAAAACAGTAATATAAGAAATCTTACTAAGTAACTTAGAACAGCATTTTGAAAAGGAATAGTTACTTAAAAATTTTATAAGATTCTGGTTTCACCTGCAAAGCCACCCTGTACCTTTATAATGAGACAAGCCCTTAAAACCTATGGCATTCTTTTTTTTTTTTGAGAGGGCATCTCTCATACTTATTGATCAAATGGTTGTTAACAATAATAAAATTCTGTATAGGGGGGTCAATGCTCAATGCACAATCATTAATCCATCTCAAGCCTACTTCTCGTCAGTCTCCAGTCTTCTGAAGCATAACGAACAAGTTCTTACATAGTGAATAAGTTCTTACATGGTGAACAGTACAAGGGCATTCATCACAGAAACTTTCGTGAACCTGGCATTCTTGTCACATCTTTTCCTCAGTGTATGACATTAGATATTATAAATACCTTAACATCATTACTAATACTAGACACAAAACCATAAGCATAGCCCTTGGGGCTGTTTTAGTGCAATTAATTAAGAATTATTCATCCAAAATGATTCTATACTAATTTTTTTAAATGTTTGATGTGTTTTATTAAAGGTAAGCTTCAATTGTTTGGAAAACTGACATGTCAGACATGTCAGTTGGCTTGTTGTTAATTGCTTGTTGGCTTGATTCCCCAGTAGAGCAGAATAAATTAGGTTACCAAATTTACTAAAAATATAAGTGTGCATATTACTAAGAAAGTAATTAGTTGTAAAATTTCAACTGTCTTCTGAGATCTGGTCTTAATATTCTGTATGTGCTAGGTACTGTACTAGTTGCTTTTATAAATATCATACTTAAATCGATTTCATGAGCTGTAGGCATTGATACAGTGAAGAACTGAGGCCATCCAGGCTAGTATAGTAACTGCAGCTTTTCATCACTGTCCTAGTCAGAATTAAAACAGAAGTCTGTGTAGCTCAAGTAGTGGCTGTGGTGAGCATACTGATGAAACTCTCAAGTGTACTCCTGCATCTCCTCTTCTTCTCCCTTGTCTGCATTTGCATAGTACATTCCAGAAAATCCTGATTATTTCACTTCAGTTTTCTCACCAAGACAAATAGTAGAACAGTAAGTGACAGAGCAGAATTCTTGGGCTGGGTGGGCAGATATGAGACATGGCTTCTGGAAGAAGTGTCTTCCAGGTGCTGACGAACCGACAAAACTGTAGTAAACTACAAACTCATTTTGTCAAGCACTTCTGCGTATGGTGGTTTTTGGGCAGCTCAGTAATTACACAGTTGAGTACCCTGGCTCTGGACTGTCTAATTTGATCTGTTAGAAATCAGTTTTACTAGTCTTACTGCTTTCTCTCTTGATTGCTTCTTTGTAGTCATTTGGAGAATTGGTACATAAGCCATTACTGGTGGATCTCACTGTGGAGGAAGGCCAGAGGTTGAAAGTGATCTATGGATCCTGTGCTGGATTCCATGCTGTTGATGTGGATTCAGGATCAGTCTATGACATTTATCTACCAACACACGTAAGAAAGAGCCCACACTCTATGGTTGGTTGACTGGCTTCATTTTGTTTTGACTTTTTCTTTACTCTGCTTAGTGAACTAACACAAGCAGGGACTCCTCACTTCCTCTTGGTGAGGGGTGAGTATTTAAGTGATGGGCCATTTTCAGTAGCTCCATGTTCTGAGACAAGTGGAAATCCACTCTCCTGGCTCTGTGAGGCCCTCCTGAGAACCTCTTAGCCCTGGCTTTGACTAACATGGGATGGACTGGGGGCATTTGCTGGTAGTCCGAACATCCCTGGGTTGGGAATGGTCTGAGGAACATGATTTAATGGAACCTGCAATGCAGATGTGTTCCGGGGCCTCAGGAAATGTGTCTAATAGAGTGTATGACTTGTAAAAGGTAGACTTTGGGGGTATATGTCACATGGGTTTTCCAAAATGTTATCCAGTTGCTGCATTTATCACCAGGAATAGGAACCAGCGCGTTCACCCAGACAGTCTTAGTGAGCATTTTGTAGGGATAGAAATAGCCGCAAACATGCCTCTTGTGCTTCATTCCTCTTGTCTAGATCCAGTGTAGCATCAAACCCCATGCAATCATCATCCTCCCCAACACAGATGGAATGGAGCTTCTGGTGTGCTATGAAGATGAAGGGGTTTATGTGAACACCTATGGACGCATCACCAAGGATGTGGTTCTGCAGTGGGGAGAGATGCCAACGTCTGTAGGTACGGACCACTCAGAGGAGACAGTTGTGAAAGTGGCGCTTACTCTTAACACCACGTACATTTCATTATGCTAATTTTACATGTCCGGACCTTTTAGCCATTTTAACAGAGTGGTTGACAACAGATGGTGTAAAGTTATTATATGGTAGACCAAGACTGGTCATAGTCTACTTTAAAACAAAACCCAAGTAATTATTTAATACTTTTTAAAACTCTGTCATTCACAGTCCTTCATTTATTTACGACATCCAGGGAAAATAAAATAGATGTTGTTTTGACTGAGTTATGGACAGAGAAGGGCTAGTGATTTGCTCTTCCGAGGGGCAGAGCCACACCAGAAACACAGCCTCTCAGACTGCTGGTGTGCATTTAGGAGGACAGGCTGATGTCTGAAATTTCATGGCGTATAAGTGTACATCCCAAATTATTTATCTCTACTTGTCATTCCTTCTGCCTACCTTAACCTCATAACTGGTTTGAGGACAATATGAGTGCTTGGGTATAAACTCAGGGGGTCATTGCTCAAGGTAAGCATGAGATGCCTCCAGGGAATTGACAGATTCAACCATGGGTTCAGATGACCACTTCCCAGGATAGACCACAAGGTTACATTGGCAGAGTTCCTTAGAAACAAAAATCTTGCTAGACATTTAGGGGGTGTGTGTGTGTGTGTATGCCATATAACCGGCACCTTTTTACAACTATTGACTTAATTTTAACATGTATTTCTCCCTTCAAAAAGCATATATTCGATCCAATCAGACGATGGGCTGGGGAGAAAAGGCCATAGAGATCCGATCTGTGGAAACTGGACACTTGGATGGTGTGTTTATGCACAAAAGGGCTCAAAGACTAAAATTCTTATGTGAACGCAATGACAAGGTAATGGTTTCCTGATAGATACCTTTTAGTTGTTACTGCCTTTAGCAGTGACTTATTTTCCATGGAATTTGGGGAAGCCTTTCTTTGGAATTTTGATAGATTCTGAAGTAAATTCAACAAGGAACTTTTTAGTAGTAACTTTTGAGACCCGTTTGTGGGGGTTGCGGTCTCCTTTATTTTGTTTTTGCCATGATGGGATAGACATACTTATCTGCAGGATGACCATGTGTTGGATTTCATTCTGAGCTCCATTGGGTGACCTATCTAGGCTCTGTCTGCTTTAGGGGGCCAGCTTAGACAGGTGGGATTCTTTTGTGAAGAGGAGGAGGCCACAGTGCAGTGTTGAGTTAGGGGAACAGTTCCCTCTCCCCTGACGTCTCTGAGAAAGACCACTCATTAGTCTGCCCTTTGAGTAGTGACCTAACCTGATGGTTTGCATGTCAGATATGCCCAACAGGGTAAGTTGTTTTCTGCAGAAGCACGAGCACCTCCAGCAGCTGAGACTTCAGGGCATCAAAGTCCCAGTTAAAACCTTTGTTTTTCAACACTGGTCACATCCTTGTCTTTTCCAGGGTCCACTCCCTCCCCAGGGCTCCCTCCCAAAACCAGCCTTGGAGTGGAGCAGGCAGATGTCCGAGGGTAGTTGACCCATCTGGCCTCCTTTGGGGACATCGAGGGTCTTCACCAAGCCCAACTTTTCTCCATTTGGATGTAAATATGTCTGATTGCCTGATGCAGCTCACTGCAGTCTTTGAAACTTGCCTTTTAAGAACATTTCCACTTCTTGCATCACTTAAAATACATTAAACTTCTTAGTAGCCAGCTTACAAGTTGACTGCAGTTGGTCCCCCGGTGTGCACAGCTACATACCCAGCACGGCAGTCACAGCACCGCCTCTCCAGCAGACCCATAGCTCATTGGCTAATGCAGTTAACATTTTTATTCTTACATAGTATCTCCCAAATCTTCACTTTGAAAATCCATACAACCTTAGGCCTAATCCAGGGTTTTTCTATCTTTTTGGCTCATGTTTTCCTAGGTATATTCAACGCAGCCATAACTGATAGTCTATTTTTATTCATGATGTCATATCCCATAAGTTTATTAATAAAAAGCACAAAAGTAAATTATATTTCTTTGATTATAGAATCCTGTGAAATAACTAGTAATATTTTAGCTTAATTTCCTAAAAGAGAAAAATCAGGTTATTGAGGAATCCTCCCTATTTACTGCTCACTGGGTTTTCCAAACACATTTATCGTTTGGGTGTTATAAGCAGTGGGGGTAAAAAGAAATAATGCAGTTTCAGAAATACCCATTTTTCTCTTGAGGTCTCATAGTAAAGCTGTGTATGAGGAGTTAAATTAACTTAGCCTTCTTAGTTGTGATAACTGTTTATAGATGGTCACTCTTACAAATGATAAGTTGGCATGGTTGCAGATTTGATGTGAAGGCGTCTTCGGGGTGCCCAAGTCGCCGTGGCTCTGGTGACCACCCGGGGCGCGTGTCTGCCCAGTGTGCATGGTGTGCACGCAGTAAATACATCCCCTTCTTCTCTTGCTCTCACAGGTGTTCTTTGCCTCTGTGCGGTCTGGCGGCAGCAGTCAGGTCTATTTCATGACGTTAGGCAGGACTTCTCTTCTGAGCTGGTAGAAGCAGTGCGGTGAGGATTGCCGGCCCCCAGAGTCTTCAGGACCCCGAGAACTTGGAATTCCTTGCAACTGGAGCTCAGCTGCGCCGGTGCAGGACAGCTGTGTGCGTGCGCGGACACCGTGTGTGGGGTTCTTTTCCCCTTCCTTCCCGCTCCTCTCCTACCAGTTTACCCCCATTCTCTTCGTTTCCTTACTCAAAAATAAATCAAGGCTGCAATGCAGCTGGTGCTGTTCAGATTCTACCATCAGGTGCTATCAGTGTTTGGGATCGAGCATCAGACCAGAAGCAAACACGTTTCCTTCAGCTCCAGAATTCCTTGTCCCTGAATGACTCTGTCTGTGGGTGTCTGAAGGTGGAGACGATGAACATGCTGTTGGTTTTATCAAGTGGGCACAGGTGGTGTGAAGTATCGGGCTAACCAGCAGTTTGCTGCAGCAGAGAGATTTAATATAGTACCATTAACAATGTATTTAATTGACATTTCCTTTTTGTAATGTGACAATTTGTGGACAAAGAAGAAGGTGCAGGTTTAAGAAGTTACTATTTATAAAATGTGAAAAACAGTTACTAGGAGAACTTTTTTGTGGGTGGGGGGTGGGGTGGGCTAAGAGGGGTCCCGTTTTGTTTTTTCTGAGGTATGTTTTTTTTGGCTTGGCTTGGCCAAGAACCCAGTCATTTTTTTGTGTACCAGGTTTTGCCCAAATCCTGTGCAGATGGTTCTTTAAAAAAAAAAAAAGAAAAGAAAAAATGTGTGCATTTGTATAATGGCCAGAACTTCGTTGAGTGACAGTATTAGCACTGCCTCAGTTCAAGGTTTAATTTTTGTTTAAACCTAGAAGTGTGACAACACTTAGACCACCGTCTGCACTTACGAAAAAAAAAAAACTTCAACCACGTTTATTGTTTTGCCTACCTCATTGTTTTTAATGCATTAAGAGGTGGTTTAGTTTATATGTTTTTTGGAGGAAAACATTAATGTTTAATTTAATCTTAGTACCAAAACTGTCAGATTGAAGTTTGACTTACTTCATCACAGGTGTCCGTAGGCACAAGAGAAATTGTCCCTGAAGAAGAGAAGTAGCCAGTGGCTTTACCATGCTTACTGATGCATCTGTTTTCTACAGAGCGCTTCATTTCACCAAGTTGACCATTAGTGGTTGGTGGGCGATTCTGCCCCACAGCACACGGGGCCTCCTTGTTGTCAGTCAGGGGTTTGGCGGCAGACGGGGTTCATACTAGAGTAGTCATACACAATGTCCAGTGTTGCAGGAACCTGCTCTTGGGGGCGGGGGTAGTTTCCTTTTCTAAAATGCAGTGCACTAAAACCGTTTTGAGAATGTAGTTAATCCTGCTGCTTCATAAGCCGGGGTCTTCTGCATTTCAGGTGTCATATCAAAGCCCTGGCTTTTCTCGGTCTCACTTGTTCTCTGTTTTTTAAACCAGTTTTACTTTATGAATATGTTCATGACATTTGTAATAAATGTCTTGGGTAATAATTTGTTTCATGGCTCCATGGTTGCTCGATTCCTGGGAGGATGGTAGTCTCGGTAAAAGAGCAGTGTTCAGTGTGGCGGTCCTGCTCTTCCTCTGCAACGGGAATACAGTGTGATGGCGGCTTCAAACTTTGCTCCCAAACAGGCTTAATTCTCCCTTGTGGTTAATTTTCTTTTATAACACGAAAATGGGGGTTTTTCCTCCTGAAAACATAACGTCACCTGCACCTGCTTGCCAAGGCTGTGTGGCCCAGTGTTCCCAGCCCGTTTGGCACCTGCTTTGACTGCTGTTATTCTCTTCCTCCTGGTTCAGCATCTTTGCCAAAGGCTCTCCTTTAAATTACAAAAATCTAGTGAAAAATATATATACCCACAGATGCAGAAACTAGCTGGGTCTACACACCCACAAAGACGATCAATAAGCTGAGAAAACCTTACTTGTGGAAGGACAAGGGGATGAAAGGGGTTTTTCCACTTGTAAGACTTTGCCATAGTGCTAAAGACCCACACAGAAAGAACTAGTTCTTTTCCTACTAATTTGTAGTTAGCAGGGAAGATTGAAGAGTTGAGCCCACCTTTGGAAAAGACTTGTAGGACAGGCCAGATTCCGTCACCACAGGACTTCAGGGAAAACCAAACTTCTGCCGTCGATCTCCCGTGTGGTGGCGCTGCGAGTGAGATGGCAGGTGCTGCGGTGAGCTTGTGCGCACGCTGGGAGGAGAAAGAGATGGCTTTGGTTGATTGTCCTCCCCTTGTGTGGCTTTAGAGAGAGGAAAAGTTGGGCAGGTGTCTTTGGGAAACTGTTACACTTCTGATCCTGAGAAGGACGAAATAAAAAAGAAGGCACCTTGGTCTTAATCATCCATAAACTTGAAGCAGAGGGTTTGTAAGTTAAGAGGTGTTGTGTGGGTAATAAAAGTGTTTCCTTAGAAGATCTGACTTTTGAGAGCTTGGCAAAAACTGGATTTCTCTAGCGGACGAGGTAACGGTCTGAGCTCACATCAGAACTGGGCCTGTCCCGCTTGCATGGCACCAGGCATCCGCTGGGCACAGGCGTGGGTTTGCACTGAGTGTGGTTGAGTCCACTGCGGGGCTTACCTGCTGAGGCCGGGCAGCCACCTGTCCTCGTGGGGCGAGTCCCAGGTGCTTCCCTGGCCTGCAGCACCTCATGACCCAGGTTGTGCTGCTGCAGCTAGAAGCAGATGCACACAGGGTTCTCCATCAACGATTCCACTTTCAAGAAAGGGTGTTTTTTTTTTCCTTTAGCAGGGTAGTGACCTCACAGAAGTGCTGAGATGGCAGAACTGCAGAAGAAACAGTGTTACAGGGATAGCATTACAAAGGGAACAGGGCTCTTCAGAGCTACACGCCAAGTCGTCTCTGGTTTAGTCAAATCTTTCATAAGTAATACCTTCTGTATTTGAATCAGAGTGACCCTGTATTGAGTGCAGTGTTTTTACTTCTCATGCACATGTTATGTTGGAGAAAATGTTTACAAAAATGGTCTTGTTACACTAATGTGCATCACATTTATGGTTTTAAGTGATTTTTTTATGGATTATTTAGATTTGTGTCTTAGTTTAGTCCACTGACAGTGACTCATAATCCCTAATTTTGCCAATTATAAATTTGCTAAACAGTAATACAAATGACAAGCTGCATTAATTTACTAATCATAGAGTTGCAAAGCTGACTGGTGACAAGTACATGGCCTTTTTTTTCCCAGTGCTAACTTGTCTTCTGTGTATTATGAAAATTAGTGTTGTCCCCACCCCCCTTTTTCCTTAAATAAAGTAAAAATGACACCTATTTTATGTGGCATGAGTTTCAAGTATATTCTGATCCTCCAGAATGTTTTCTTCCTATAGGATCTGTATTGTATGCACACTAGCTTTTCCCCTGTGCCAGCCCTGGCCCTCTCCCATCATGGGGTGACAGGTATGTTTGCTCAAAGATCTCAGAATGAACCTGGTGGTGAGCTCTTGCTCACCATTAACTGAAGCCAAAACAGAGTAAAGTTGATGCTTAAGAAATAAGGTTTTATTTTGCAGGTCTGAATTGGATCAAAAAGTAAATCAGCATGCCTGTCACTAACAGAACAACTGAAGTAAACCCTTCTCAAATTGGCATGTAAATACTAACTTAGGCCTAATAATTGAAGCACCTTCAGTGTAAGGGCATTATGGCTAAGCCTTGGGGTGTGCCCCATCCAATCCCCCCATAGGTCTGGCAATAACGACCCCCACTGGACAGATGTGGGGCCACGTCATGGGGATCAGCATCTTGCCCAAGACTCCAGGATTGTGGACGGCTGGCCATGCTACAATATCAGCAATTAAATATGTCAGTAAACTAGCTCCTTTGTGCTTCATACTAGAAACATTATTTCTCTAAGGTGAAAATAAAAGTGTAAATACCTAGGTTGCCAAAGTGAGTACACTTCTTCTTTTCCTACTTGATGTTTGCTGGAGCTGGTAGGTGATGAGGAATAGAAATCTGGCAGAGCGCGTGGTTGCCTGGGAGCTGTCACTCATTCCTCCTCTTGGGTTTTTCCCTTGAAGTGAGCAGGGAGACATACATCTTATCACTGACTCCAGTGCTGTGCTTGAGGGGCACATTCAAGGGGGCAGGGAAGTTGCTGCTTTCTCTGCTATCTATGAATTAAACCCCTCCCCCACACACCTATTTTTCACGAGGAGAAGTAGGTGTTACAGTTTACAGAGTAAAACAGTTAAGGAATGATAAGTTGGGGAAGTAGTTTATGCATTTTCTTAAGGGAGAAGTAATGTGTGCGCAGATAGTAGGCTCAGCTGATCCAGCTCAATCACGTTAAAGACGGTCTTTGTTTCTACATTGTGCTTAAAGTTGATAACCTATTTGCTGATGACATAGTACAGTTCTGTTCCCTTTGTTGTCATCTGAATGGAGATAGTTCTTGGGGTGACCCATTTATTAAATCCTAACTGCTCCTCAGAAACTCCCAAACATGTTGCTGGCCTGAGCAGGCACTCAGAAATGCCGGGTGATTTGCTTTAAGTAACAAAATTAAAACCCTAACATGAATCCAGGGGAAAACCAGTCCTTTGTGCAGCTTGGAACTCGAGAGGAAGTGCGCTGGGTTAGCCAGGCCATAGGCTGAGCGTGCGTCCTTCCCATGCTGGGCAGGATGCCACGCCGACTTGGGTCCCCACCGCGCCCGGCCTGCTGAAGGAACAGTGCAGAGCCCTCGGTTCCTCCGTCTGTCGGCTCGCTCGCCTGGTGATAGGAAATTTCGATAGTCCAGTTCAGAATGATAGATCTTACTTCGGTTTAGGTTGTGAAAGTCTGGCAGCATGCCCACTGGAGGTTCTGAGGAAGGATGTGCATAGAGCTTGAGCAAGTTGTTCTTTCTGCTCCTTAAATTTATTTACAAGTCTGATGTAACCACTCACCATTAAAGCCAATGTTAAACAACTTTCCACAACAAATGGTATTAAATACTTGGCTCTTTTCTAACACCTTTACTGAGGTAGGATACACATCCATGCAGTGTGCCCATCAGTAGCCTTTATGTGGTCTTATGCACATGCTACCACCACGATCACTTTTAAGCATTTTTTTTTTTTTTTTTACTTTGAAGAAGGAACCTGCTGGCCATTATCCTCTCAGTCCTGGCCCTCCCCATCCTCACATGCTTTAGGGAACCACTCATCTTGTGCGTCTTCTGGACATTTCATAGAAATGAAATACAATGTGTAGTCTCTGACTGGCTTCTTGGACTTAGCAGAATGTTTTTGAGGTCCATCCATGTTGTAGCCTGTATCACTTAAGAACTTCGTTTCCTTTTATTCGCATTCTTCATTCTTAACTTTGATCACGGGGGCCCTCAGCTGCAGGACCAATATCTCAGCCAGGCAGTGAGGGCCCCAGCCTCAAATGAAAGCTGCAGAATGAACCTTCCACCCCGCAGGGGAGACAGCCTGACAAGCAGCCCCAGAAAGGGATTCGTGCTGAGCTCTTAGGAACCCACTGATCCCCTCCCACCAGAGATCTTGATGCTAAACATGAGGCTCATCACAGGTCAGGTGCAGAGGTTAAAGTTGTGCAATGGGGGGCCGTTCTGGAGGCACTAATACCGAGTCTTGCCCATGGAGAGTAAACCTTTAAACCCTGGGAAGGTTGGGGCCAGTAGGTGTTCTCGCTGGTGGCCAAGGCGGCCTGCCTAGGGGTACTCGGGTTTTCTTCTAAACGTGCTCATTCCGAGAAGTGGATGTAAAAGTTGATCTACCGAGCAGATACTTTTCTCATCCTAGGTAAGTTTGTCCAATAGTCACTCTTCAAAAGTGCCTTGTTATTTGAGCACCTCGTGTGTATCTTACTGGCATCGTGGACATTTCCTCTGTGCTGCCTCCAGGAAGGTCGTCCTGTCCCTCAGCCTGCCCTTGCAGGGCACATCATTGAGTAAGTGTGGATGCTAGCAATTTCTGGGAACTTGGCAGCATTTTAGTCAGTCTAGCAAGTTGAGCAACCACGGCATGCCGAGTAGCCGTGGGTATGCTGCCGCTCTGGGGAAATGCGGGGATGCCGTCTAAAGGGGCAACTCTGAAAGTGGTGCTTGGTGCCTTCTACATCAAAGCAGAGCCTTGTAACAGATGACAAAGATGCCATGTTTTAGCTAAAGAAGCATTGTAGCTGCCAAAAGAGTTGGTGTGAGTTTGAAATGCATGGATAAAATTGTGAAGTGGGAGGAGATGATGCCCACCACTCTGTCGTCCTGGTTAGGTCGCACTTGGTGGGACACAGGTCACAGCATCTAAACTAGCTCCCATAAAGACTGGTTTGCAGAAAAGGTAAAACAGGAGAAGCAGTTACATAAACCTCTAAAGATTGTTCAGCTAATCAGTCTGTCCTAAATGGGGGTTAGCAACAGTGATGCTAGGAATACTCTTTTGTGTGTGGTGCTGTGCCCCAGCATGTACATTTTTTACACATAGCCTCCCAGTCTGTAGGATGGAAGACTCAGG